GGTGCAGACGACGATACACCTCACGCGAGCGATGTGCCTACGCCAACTACCGAGGAACCCGAGCCACTGGGCACCAAGCACTCCCACAAGAGCACGCTTTCTGCCAACGCCAAGCCCTTCGAGTTCCGACCGCAGTTCAACAGTGCTGGCTACGACTTCGGCTTCCACGTTACGAAACCGTCTCAGGTTGAAGATCCCGAGAAGTCTCAAGTGTCTCCACCGAGATACGCAAGCAGAAGCCCAGCAACTACGTACAGGCCTAGCGACGACGGCTCGTTCAAGACTGCTATGGAATCTGGCAGGCACAAGGGCTACCCTGAAAGCGAAAGTGCCGATTTCGACCAACTTGGTGATGCTTCCTTTAACGACATTGATGCTGTCATGAAGCACATGGATGGTGAGGGCTCGGACTTTGGCGTCGAGCGCGACGAGGCCTCTTGGGACCAGTCTTCCCCCCAGAGAACGCCAAACGTGTTTGAGCGCAATGACCTACAACCCAACTTCAAGATGCGCAGTGACGCCCCCAGCCCCAGCCCCCGTCGGGGATTCTTCCCGGGACGGCCGATGCAGGGTTCTGCAACATCGGTGCAGGATCCGTTTGACGATGAGCGGGCTGCGCTCCCATACGACTCGCCTGTGCGCCACATGAACAATGCTGACGCCGGACCCATGAGCGATTGGGACGAAGGTCTTCTTACTGAAGACGAATCTAAGGTCCAGACACGCAGTGGCTTTTTCGACAAGCATGTTGATGACCTCATGGGCCGTCTCCTGCAGGACCGTCTTGGCCCGCTAGAGCAAAACCTGCAAGGCATCCAAGAGGCACTTGCAATGATGTCGCAACGTCCGGGACGCGGCCGCCGTAGCATGTCGACTAGCGCACGCCTGGACAGCGATGCCGACGACGAAGATGACGAAGCAGAGACCGACGTTGACTACCGTAACCGATCTCGTGGAAAGGACAGGAAGTTGGAGAAGATCCGATCTATCGTCCAGGACGCGCTTGAGATGCACCAATCACAGATCACATCTATTCCGGTGCCCGTTCCCGAGCCAATGATCCCAGAGAAGATCCGGGAGATCGTCACCGATGCGCTTGCGCAACACCAGCCACCTGTACAACCTGTCGAACCTGTTCCTGCTGCTCAGATCCGCGACATTGTGCAGGATGCAATTGCTTCTACCACGATTGCATCCTGGACTGAGGCTCTCAAGCCTGACGACGTTCGTTCTATCCTTGCTGACATGCTCGCAACCCATCTTCCTAAGCCCGTGGAATCGGTCAAGCCTGACGACATCCGGTCCATCGTGTTGGAGGCATTCGAGACGCACGCTCCTCAGCCAATGCCACCCCCAGTGCCTGAGCAGATCTGGCCTGACGACCTGAAGGCAATCGTTACCGAGGCTCTTGCGTCACAACAAACGCCAGCTGTGGAGCAATTGCAAGCGGAGACCATTCGCTCCATTATCGCTGAAGCACTCGCATCCCACCAGCCTTCAGCTCCTAGTGCGCCAACTGCCGAAAATGTACAGCCCGATATGATCCGTTCTATCGTTGCCGAGGCCTTGGCGAACCAGAAGCCTGCTGCCACTCTTGAGGCTCCCGTCGATATTCCCCAGCCACAGGTCGATATGTCCGAGATCTACCAGGTCATCGGTAGCCTCAAGGCTTCTATTGCGCAGACCACTAGCCACCATCTTCAGGCTGAGGAGGTTCGTGAACTTGTTGAGGAAGCTCTGAAGCGCCATGGTGAAGAGGTTGCCGAGCGTGAGAACTCCAAGGCCGTCCAGGAGAGGGATGTTCGTATCGCGGACCTTGAGGAAATGCTCAAGGAAGCCACTCTTCGATTCAACGAGGAAGCTGAGGCCCGCCAAGCCCTCGAGGCTCGTGAAGCGGACTCTGCGCGCCTGCTCAAGGTCACCGAGGAAGAGCTCACGCTTCTGCAGCAGACTTCCCGTGATGACGAACACAAGATTGGCACATTGACAGAGGAGCGAGATGACCTCCGCCGCAGCCTCAACTCATACCAGGCGGATTCGGCCGACATGCGCGATAGACTCGCCACTCTCGATATTGAGAACGAGCAGCTCAAGCTTACAAACATCGCCCTGGAAAGCTCGGAGGAGGACCTGAAGAAGAGGCTCGATTCAGTCACCGCGGAGAACGAGGCACTCAACTTTACGCTCGAGGAACACCGTATGTCTGCTAACAAGTGGCGTGGTGACCTGCAGCACGCTCACGAGGAAGGAGAGCAGCTGCGCAAGGCTATCGGAGAGGCGCGCTTCCAGGCCGAGGAGGCAACCCGAGTACGCGAGTCGATGCGCACCAAGCTCGAGAAGCTACAGCAAGATATGGTTGCCGCTTCACAGCAGATCGCATCTGAGCGTGCTCAATGGCAAAAGAACGAGGAGGCCTCCGCAACCAAGTACGAGGTTCTCAGCGCACGCATTGAAGCTGAAGGTCGCACACGAGAGCGTCTGGAGAGGGAGCTCGAGCGCTTGGAGACCCAGGAACGTGAGGGTATGAGACTCAGGATTCATCTCGAGCAAACCCAGAAGCACAACGCCAGACTTGAGGAGACAATTGAAGAGCTGAGGAGGGAATCTTTGGAGCACCAGAAGAACGCCCAGCGCTACGAGCGTGACATGCGCGAGGCTAGGGATGCTGCGCACGTTGAGATCCGCCGCACCCGCGTGCTCATGGAGGCCGATGTTGACGCAGCTAACAACCAAGTCAACATCGTTCGCCACGAGCTTGAGAGCGAGGTCGCTCGTGTCCGCGCTGAGCTGGACCAGGTTCGCCTTGATGCTGATACAGCCAAGGAGAAGCACGAACTGGATCTGGAGGCCGCTTCCGACCTCAAGAAACAAGCCGTACAGGAAGCGATCGAGAACAACAGACACAGCCTGCAGGAGCAGCAGCGCACTTTCGAACGCCAACTTGAGCACATGCAGCATGAACATGCTCGCGCTCTGGAATTCGCGCGTGAAGACAAGGATCGTGCTGATGCTTTCCACAACGACAAACTTGCGCTCGCCGACTCCAAGCTCGACCACTTCAAGGACAAGATCGCGTTGCTGGAAGAGAAACTTCAGGTCGCAAAGGAAGCCGCCAACGCCGCTGTTGCAGCAGCATCCAAGTCTCCTACGTCAACCTCTTCGTTCGCTCCTAGCGGCGCAGAGAAGATCTCACCTCAAGCATTGCGCGAGTCTATTGGTGTTCTCCAGGAGCAGCTACAAGAGCGTGAGGGACGTATCGAAGCTCTCGAGCGCCAGCTTGAAGATGTTGACACTGAGGCCCCAGCCAAGTTGAAGGAACGCGACACTGAGATCAACTGGCTCCGTGAGCTACTTGGTGTACGTGTGGACGACCTGAACGACCTCATCAACTCTCTTGCTCAGCCAACCTTCGATCGCGAGACCGTTCGTGATGCCGCAATCCGCATCCGTACCAACTTGCAGATGGAGCAAAGTGAGAAGGAGCGACTCATCTCGGGCGGACAAAAGTCCCTCCCAACTCTGAGCTCGCTCTCGAACTTTGCTTCGCCCAAAGCAGTCCAGCTCGCTGCCGCCATCGGTAACTGGCGCAAGGGCCGTGGCGAGGCTACCTCCGCTCTCGCAGGTACCTCGACCACCACGCGGACCCAGACACCATCCCGTGCGCAGCCTCACTCCGCACAGTCCTTCCTCTCCGGCCTTATGACACCACCAACCTCCAACGCGCGCCGCGGATCAGAACTCTCATCCTCATCGCAGCGACCCCAGCCCCTGCGCACAAACTCGAACAGCTCGCGCGCATCAACCGAAGCCGGTTTCCCCGCCCTGGGCAAGCAGCCCCGCACACCGCCTCTGATGCGCAAGCAAGCCTACGACCAAGACGCCGAAATCGAGCCTTTCAGCGAAAGCGGCTTCTACGACGATGAAAGCACTGTTGATGGCGAACTCACGCCACTAGCATTGAACTTTGGAAGGGAACTACAACAACGGTAGATTCTCCGACCATGACAAAACAAACAAGATCGACGAAACTGCAAAACCAACAATCTTTTCCTTTGTTAAAGAGATTTTTCCTTTTGCGTTGCTTTGCCGCTGCTGCTCTATACGAGCGTTTTCTGTCGCTGCCTTATCATGGGTTCTGCGCTTGTTTGTAACCTTAATGCTTGCTTGTTCTGCTTGCTCGCGTTGCCTTTTCTTCTGTCTTTTACTGCACAGCACAGCGACTTAGGTTGGCTATTGGAATATATACCCCCGCAAGACCGTTTTCTTGAAAGTTATAGCTCAAATTGTATACAACACAACAGATTTCTCTTGGTTTATATAGCTTTTCTTATGTATGTTTGGGGAATGAACGGGAGGGGATACTGGGCGGAGGACAGGGAGGCTGCGCGATTTGGAATTTGGAATTAGTTGGATATCAAATTGGGTAATATATACTGTTCTTTTTGAAATACAACGTGTCTCGATGAACATAGACGACAACTTTCGTAAAGTGGGTGATGAAAGTTACGAATACCCATATTCAGACACCCACCGGCACGGCTCTCAATCTTGACTCGCGGTGCCGACAGGCGACACCCACGGCATCATCATGCACACATGTGCTAGCCGAGCGGCCTAGTTCCGTCTCTGTATTAACCGGAAGAGGCAGGGCCTATCGAGCGGTTTAACGTAACAAGTTCGGGTTATGAGTTTATTTCCGGACAAGGGCGTAGGACATGTCGACCTCCACTTTTTTTGCTTGCTTCCTTACTCTTCATCCGAGGGAGGCGCAAACATGACTCCTAACATGTTCGCACGCGTTTGCGATCTGGTTCCTGTGTGTTTCTTGGTGCGCAGGGTTGCATAGGTGAATTGTTCAAGGATTCAAGAGATTGGAAAGAGTGGGATTGTGCGGCCGGATAGGATTGTGCTGTGTGATACCGTATTCCCGGGAAGAAGGCGAAGACGAAGAGAAACGACGAACGACGACGCAGAGGAGGTCAGCATACGTGGAAGTAAAGATGGAGGCACCGCAAGGAGAGAAAGAGCAGGGTGTCAATGGAAGTCAAGGAAACGACATGTCAACTTCAGAGAAAAGCATGGCTATTGCTAATCCTCAACCGGATATCGAACTCGACTCCACTACCAACAACAATCTGCAGTCCATGCCAGGAATCTCGCCAACCCATCAACAACCCCAAGCATCAAGCAAAACGAGCACTGCCCCAGATGTTCACCCGGTGGATGTTCCCCCAAACGGCGGCTACGGCTGGGTCTGCGTCGCCGCCGTCGCAACAATAAACGGGCACACCTGGGGTCTCAACTCGGCCTACGCCATCTTCCTCGCCCACTACCTCTCCACGTCCACTTTCCCAGGTGCCACACCCCTCCAATACGCCTTCATCGGCGGCCTCTCCATCTCGCAAGCCCTCATCGTCTCCCCGGTAGCAACGTACACAACGCGTCGCTTCGGCACCCGCACCACGCTCTTCATCGGCGTATTCTTCGAAACCGTGTCCTTCATCGGTGCGAGCTTTGCGTCGTCCATCTGGCACCTCTTCCTCTCCCAAGGCGTGTGTTTCGGATGGGGAATGGGTTTTCTGTTCGTAGGCTCCGTGGGCATTGCTGCGCAGTGGTTTACCACACACAGGAGTCTGGCGAATGGGTGTTGTGCGGCGGGGAGTGGGCTCGGGGGGCTGATATACAGTCTTGCAGCTCAGGCGATGATTAGGGATATTGGGTTGCCGTGGGCTTTTCGCACGCTGGCGGTTATTGCGGGCGTTGTGAATAGTGTTTGTGCGTTGGTGATAAGGGATCGGAATAAGGAGGTTGGGAGTAGGCAGGTATGTCGCTTTTTCTGTTATTAGTATATGTCTGCGAGGTTACGGCAACGTGGCTAGTATCCTCCGATGCACATCGCGCGCTCTGGCTCGAATGCTTCATCACAATCAACTTACCCCTCTTACTAACATCTCTCTAGGTCAGCTTCGACTACACCCTCTTCCGCAAACCCCAATTCATCGGCCTCCTCGCCTTCGGCGTCCTCAGCATGCTCGGCTACATCGTCCTCCTCTTCTCCCTCCCCTCCTACGCCCGCACCATCGGTCTAACCGCCCAACAAGGCAGCATCATCGGCGCCGTTTTCAACCTTGGCCAAGCCCTTGGTCGCCCCCCAATAGGCTACTTCTCTGATTCCATCGGACGGTTAAACATGGCGGGCAGCATGACATTCCTGGTCGGAGTGTTTTGTTTGCTTATATGGATCTTTGCGAAGAGCTTTGGTGTGTTGGTTTTCTTTAGTTTGGTGGGCGGGATGGTGGCGGGCACGTTTTGGGCGACGGCTGCGCCGGTTACGACGGAGGTTATGGGGTTGAGGGATTTGCCGAGTGCGTTGAGTATTACTTGGCTGGTACTTGTGTTGCCTACTACCTGTGAGTAATGATCTTTTTTTCGCCTGGTTCTCTGTGAATCTTTCTCACGGTAGGAGTGCGTCTATGTGGGAAGTTGTGCTAATCGGCGGTACAGTTTCGGAACCCATCGGCCTTGAGATCGTCGCTTTCAACGGGGGAAGTTACACCGGAGCCATCCTCTTCACAGGTTGGATGTACATTGGAGCCGCGGTCTGTCTGTGGATGGTGAGGACGTGGAAGATTGGTGAGGATGAAGAGAATGCTGCGGCTGCTGCGAAGGGGGATGGTGACCCGACTCCGGCCGAGGCTGGAAGCTTTCAACGGAGCCCGTTCGTAAAGAGGATGTTTATGATTCGAAAAGTCTAATGGCATGCTACGTAGGACACGGTCTTCAAGCACAGTGGTTGTTATTTGATTTATTGATTCGATTCTACAAAGGAGAGGAAAATGTCCAAAACGCTATTCTAGCAATCTAAGCCAAGAGGTATCATCATTCGTCATCATTCGTCAACGCAATCCTATATCCATCTATCGCGACTCACACTGAGCCATGAACCTGTACATGCCTTCAACGCCCTGGTATTCCAACGGGGTATGCATGTCCATTTCATCAGCCTCACTGGTATGCAAGCTGTCGTATCCTGAAGGCGACGAAGAGGATAACCACGGGTTTGGCTCAGTTTCAAAATCATCTAGTTGGTCGTAGCTTTGTTCCGAATGGGTCGAGAAGTCTTCTGAAGCCGCGAGTGATGGCGAGAGCATGTGCGTCCAGTCGATGTTCGGTTGTACGTGTTGGCGCTCGGCAACGGGCTTGTCGTAGAATGAACATTCGGAGGGTGTTTGGCTTGGTGCGAAGGGGAAGAGTAGCGCGATATCGGTGCCGACGAAAGAATCAAAGTCCACGTCCTGGTGGACTGCGCCTCTGGAGACCTCGAAGTCGTTGCATATCGTCTCCACTGTTTGCGCATCGCAGCCAGGGAAGTGGACTTTGAGAACCGAGTTTTCATACGAGATGGGAAGATCGCCTAGTGCCGCCAGTCGTTGCAGATCGTTCAAAACGGCTGCGAGCTCCTTGACGGCCCTTGAGAAGTCGACGGACAGGACATCGAGGAGACCCTCGCTGTTCAATGTCTCTTTCTCCTGCGCGAAAGAGGTGAAGCCCTTGACGGCCTTGAGGGGAGTAAGAGCGGTGACGGTGGGGTTAACGTTGAAGCTGATGTAGGATCCAGGGGTGGCCTTGGGAACCTTGTTCAGCGTACGGTTGACCTGGTCTTGGAGCGCGGACACAGTCTTGAAGCGCTTCTCGCCGTTGTGAGGGTTGATGCCATCGAACTGAGCCTTCTGTCCACCGACGAGGAATGCTCGCACAGCCTGAGAGACGTTGTTGATGACTTGGGCTGGCGATGCGGGTCCATGCGAAAAGTAACGCGCGCCTCCGGCCCTGCCAGAGCCCCAGCCGTAACCTCCTGCGGTTCGTCCAAATGCGCCACCGGTAAGGTTCGGGCGGAGGGTCGATGCGAAGGGTGCGCGGCCAGCCTGGGCGTTGACGATGCTTGCAATGCGTGACTTGGGAAAGGAGGCCTTGTCGTACTTCACGCCTGAGTTGCGAGCCGCAGAGGTGGTGAAGCGACGAACGGCGGCGCTGATCTGGCTGTGGGTGGTGTACCATCGGCCCTTGCTCTGCTTGAGGTAGGCAATGCGGTGAAGAGGGTGCTTTGGGGCATTTCGAGCGAGGATAGGTTGTAGTACTGCATCGGCAGGTCGTGCGGATTCTGGTAGTTGTTTCTGTACGAGTTTCGCAGCATGTTTCCAGGCAGCCCTTCGTCTGTCAGTACGCGACCCCCTCGAATAGTGCTGCGAACTTACTTGAACGCTCTCGCGTTCTTGGCCACCGAATTATACAGATGCACCACGGCAGGTGCCATGATGATTGTGTGTTCCAAGAGAGGAGAGAGTGGTGATGCGTCGAACTGTGGGGAAGGCGACGTTAATGAGGCGTAGGGTCAATGTCGCCACCGATCGGCACCATTGGTCTGGAACGCCGAGCAATGACGACGATCACATGCCAACTCACTCACCGCACCCTGGCTTTCGTTTCAAGTGAAGTGAAGCCTGATCTTCTCCGTCTGTAATTTACCGCTGCAAGTCCCAAACATCGTTTGCTTGATGGCTCAGTGATTTAGTCATGTTGCGCTGCTGTTGCCTGGCGGAGTGTGCCCGGATGCGAATCTCTCGCGAGCGATGGAATGATAGCGACTGAAGTAAACCACCTGAATCGGAGTAGCAGCCATGCGACTCGACACCAGTAGCCACTTCACGACACATGAGCGTATCATCCTGCGACACCTGGAAGACCAAGCTAAGATTTTACCATACGGGTTTAAGCTCATACCAGGAACAAAAGGTATTCATTTTCGTACTTTTACAAAGCAAAAGCCACATCCGCAGACCTGACATCCGCTTATATACTTTGCTTCATGGAAAACAAGACTCCCAAGCAACCACATCCACCTATAAGTAAAGGAAGAACATGATTACCATATATGCCTGAGGGGAGAGAAAGCTGCCATCGAGTTTTGTATGCTGAGTCGGATGAACATGCAAAAGGTAGACACACACACAAAAACGCCAGCTTTCAATGCTACCAGGCCCCTAGATCCAGGAAAAAGAGGGGAAAAGCCAGATATTCCTGAGAAGGGTATTTCGTATTGTGGGATTGGTAATTCGTGTGAACATTAAAGGAAAAGGTTTCCGAGACGCGAGGGCATTCTATCGAAGGAGGAAAAAACAGTTGGTCGGCCGCCGACCGGGTTCAAAACGCCAGAACATGAACTTTTTGTCAATGTATACACAGTCTGAAAACTCGCAAGGGGAAGATGAGAAGCAACAAGACCGAAGACCGGGACGAAGACATGCATAAACCTTGGCTCATACGACAGAGTTGAGACAGCACCCGGAATGCATCATGGCAGTGTCAACAGAGCCAAGGTATCTGCATCAAGCAAATCATCAATACGCTGTCGGCTTCGAGGGTCCATGCTGCCGCTGCGATAAACTGCTTTCAGCTGATCGAAAGCTGCACGTCGCTCGTCTTCGGTCCTGATAAGTTCAACAAAGTCTGAAGCTACCCGCTGTCGAATCACGCTCTGTGGCGAAAGCAAAGACTCGCCGTAAAATTTGGTAAGATTGGAAATGCCAGTATCCGTCCTCCGGTGGGCGGCGTCTTCGAAAGCCAAATGGCGGAACTCGTCATACATTGATTGATTGAAATTCCGAATCAAAAAATGCGACCAGAATTGGTAAAGAACGTTCATGTCGTAAGGGGTTATGCCGAGGGGTGCGTTGGAACGCTGATGAAGAGCTTTGGATCGAAGGTGAAAATACGATTCATGCGATGAATCTGAAGGGATGGTGTGAACTGGGCGGTGGTGATCTTTGACCCAATAGAGGCGAACAGGGGCGATTGGAGAAGTCGATCGGAACGGGTCGGTGTCGAGTTGTGGGTGATGAAGATGGCTCTCAGGGCTACTATCGACGTGATTAGCGCATACATTCAGCTGCTCTGAAACGGCAACTTACCCATCAGACACTCCGGCACCGTTGACCCTCAATTGGCAGGTGATGGACTTCTCCGGCTCATCTGGCACGCCATGTTTACTATCGATGGAGCCATTAGAAAACGTTCGGGAAACGGAAGGAGGCAACGACATTTGCGACGGGGGTTGCTTGCGCATGACGACTGTCAAGCTGTCGAGTTGCAAGTCGGAAAAAGAATCAGGAATATCTCCACTCACAGCCTTTGTCGAGCTCTCGATTGGGTGACCATTCGAGACGGCCGCGTTCACTTCTTCGGCAGCCACGCCATTCGTCTCCGCCGGCACTGTACCGGCATCCTGGGCAACGGGATGGAAACCGTTCATTTGGGGGTACGCGCCCTCGTTACCGAACGGGCTGAATGCTGGGGACATGGCCGACCACTGAGGAGGGTTGGATGGATCGAAGCCTGCAGGGCGAGAGACCTGAGGCTGGTTCAGCTCTTTTGGTCCCTCGTTCTGTGCAGACGGATCACGCTCGGCCATGTCAAGAACCCACTGCTGCCAGCCTTCCTTGCGACGTAGTCGGTCCTGGCCGTTCTCGCTGGTGCGGTACTCGATTGTGGCAGACTGTTGGCAGACGAGCCTGATCATGTCGATATCAGGAGACAGGCTCTTGATGCGGTTGAAACCGGCGATGAATTCAAGAGCAACGAATCCCTGAGAGTCCATGTGGCGACGTAGGTACAAATCCTTGATCAAATTATCAACAGAGAAGTAGTACTCCCTGGTAATCTGTTAGCATGTTTCTTGTGACGGGCGGATAAAAAGCATACACTTGGGTCGTGATCATAGCGAAGACCGAGTACTGATCGACGCCGTATGGGCTGTACGGTAATCCAGCGCTCATGGGCGCAGGCATTCCATAAGGATACATCTCATGCGATGTTTGAATAGGAGCTGGGTACCCGGGCTGGAACGGTGGATACCTGTATGGATCGGTGGTCAATGACTGTGAACGGTGGTTGTTGCGACCGAATTTGCCATGAGGCGCGGGGAAGAAGCTATTGCTCTCAGGTACAAAGGTCGTGGGCGATCGTGGGCCCAAGGGAAAGCTCGACGTGGAGTGCCCGTTGGTGAAGTGGTGTCCATTGGTGTAGTTACCACGGCCGCCACGACCTCCGCGGCCACGTTCGCGGCCGTTAGAGAACGAACTAAAGCGCTTGGAATGGCCATGCGAGGAGCCGTCCTGGAAGGTGTGCGCTCTACGCTCACCATCTCCAGCGGCGTCTGTCTGCGTTCCAGCAGAATTCTGACGCTCACCCCAGGTGTTATCCTTGGTAGGTGAGGATGCGCCATCTCTCCTTCGCTCTCCGGCACCGTGGAATTCGCCTCGGCGGCCCTTGTGAGGCTTGGTGGGGTACTGACGTTGGTAAGCGCCGTTTTGAGCGGGCACGTTGGACAATGACGATCGCCTGGGCTGCGCTTCAGACTCGGAGGTTACGGGGCCAGCGGCTTTGCCAGCGGCGTCGCCGTTGACTACAGGGGTCTGGCCGTTAAGTGTAGGGGCATCTGCGCTACCGTTGCGCTTTGCCTTGGGAGACGCATCCTGCGTAGCTGTCTCAGCGCGCTCGCGCCTCGTCGGTTCGCCGTTTGGTGCGAATCCATCCTTCTCGGTCTGTTCAGCACCGTTGCCAAAGCTAGTAGGCCTGCCGCCGTTCACTGCTCCACCGCGTCCTCCAGGACGGCCACCTCTCCTGGCGCCTGCCGCGTTTGGCAGGGGCGTGTTGAACACAACTGTTGGTGTGTAGGGGATTTTCACCCACTCATGCTTGCTAGTCGAAGCGCCATCTTTGCGCTCCTTCTGCTCCTTCTCGCCCTTCTCTTGGGCCTTCTTGCGATCCTCGTCGATGACGGTCTCGGGAGTCGGCCATGACTCCTGGTCGCGGTTGGGTGGAGGAGGCAGCGCGCTCGAAGCCGGAGCTGCCTTAGCATCCTTCTCGGGGAACCTGCCCTTAGCACCGTTCCTCACATCGAGGTCACCCTTGAACTCTTTTCGGCCCTTGTTTCTGCTCTCGCCGTTTGTAATCTTCTCTTGAGATTTTGAGTCGCCGTTCTTGGCCTGAACTCCGTTTGCCCCGTGGGACACTCCATTGGGAGTTGTTTGAGGCGCAACCTTCTGCACCTGAGACTTAATTGTGTCCGCTCGTATCTTCCAAGGGTTTACAGTCGGTACAGGCGCCTCTTGGAGAGGCTTAGCAGGCACGTTCTTGGCCTTCTTGACCTTGTCAGAGGTCTTCTCGACTGCCTCAACCGACTTATCAACCGAGGTGGAGGCCTGAGACTTGTTATCCCAGGTGGTCGACTCAGAGGAGGTGTTCGGTATCGAGGAAACATCGTCGTCCTTGGTGACTGTCGACGAAGTGGAGGCTCCCATATCCGGCGAGGATATGTTGGAGGCATCTACGGGTTGTGAAACCTTGACCACATTGGGTGCGGCTTGCTCTGTGCGCGCCTCGCGGGTTTTCGCAGGCTGCTCAGGGCGCGACTCAGACTCGACGTCTTCGGCCCAGTTGCTGGGTGACGCGCTAGTTTCTGGAACAGATGCGCCGTTGCCGTCCTTGGCTGGTGTAGCAGAGCCGGATGCCGACTTGCTCGTGGTGGCAGGCGTGACGACGCCCTTCGCGGCTTGCGCATATGAAAATGTGGAGGCCATTTTGGAATTTGTGTGGATCTCGACTAAAGTCCGGCTGGTGAGACGAGAGTAAGCGCTTAGGGTCCCCGATGGGAGCGCTGCGGCAAGCTGGCCAACAGGTGTTGACGCTGGTATGTCCGGAGAGGTTGCTCTTGACCTCCCCGCACGCAAATCTCTTTGCTGCTACCAAGCCTTGCGTTGTCGACTAAGCGGTGCGGCGAGGATATAGCTCTGCGCTGATGGAGAGCTGGGCAGTGTGCTGGACGAGGGCTTTGTACCGAGGCGGTTTCGCACAATGTGAGGAAAGTAAATGCTTCCTACTTCACTGTTTGGCGGCTGTGACGGTAATTGCGCGTACTGCAGCGACTGGGGTTAGCGAAGAACAGATGTGCTACAAGCGCAGGGTGGGCAGCGTATGAGGCGTGGTGGTGGAAGCAAGTGACGTGGGTAGTTGTGGTGGAGGACTGGGAGCGAGCGCACGACAAGTCGAAATAACTGCGTGGGCCGCCGAGGCCTAAGCGGGAAGGAGCGCGAGTGAAAGACAGAGCGCAACTGAGAGAGGCTGAAAGGCGGAGAAGGGGAGGAGTGTTGCGCAGCGTGCCGAGCAAACTCGAGGCGGGGAGCAGGGCAGGAAGCAAGCGTGCGGCGGGCGTGGGCGGTGCTGTGGGCGGAACTAACCTCTGGAGCGAGTCTGCGT